AAAAAAAAAAAAAAAAAAAAAAAAAAAAAAAAAAAAAAAAGGGAAGCTGGACAAGAGGCATTAATTTGAAATTACTACAGGCTTAGAAAGATGAAGTAATGAAAGATCGAATTACAAAATCCTCTGGTTGCTTACCAGTTTCTGCAAGGGGAATAAATTGGCAATTCAGCTATACAGATACCAGAAACGTTTTGTACTTTTGAGTGATCAAGCTTTCATGACCATACGAAAAGGAAAGCTTATCAATGGCTTTATAAAAGAAATGAACTTCTCAACTATGGCACTAATAGATTACCTGAAGATGAGTGTATTTACAAGTGCAAGAAAAGATGCTGTCACAAGGGGATCATCCCATCGCCTTATTCCTTCAAAATTCCTAACGGTGATAGTCATAGGGAGCACAAGCTCCTAACAAGTAAAAAGGAATGCAACTATTAGCAGAGCAAATATAGGTTTTATGGCGGCCAGGAACAAAAATAACAAAATCTACGCAACATGGAATGCATATGCATCCATTTCAATTTACGCATCAGAATGTTCCTGAATGCATAAAACCACACAATTATGTCCTTGAAAAAGTTGCTAACTTTTTGCCCTTTGTTGATTCTAGGTGCTTCCATCAAGAGGAAAAATACATGTACAAAACGACGAGGATCACAATTGTCATCACTCATCAAACTCCATCCAAGTCTATTAAAAATCTTAAACTTTTTTCTCAATCAATACACAAAATATATACCAACATATTAAAAAGTCCGTGTCAAAAAAAACTAGTTTGACTTCAAAAAAGTCCAAGGGTAACTCGATGTGGATAAAGTAATTTCGATACGATACACATTTAAAAAGCGTGTGAAAGTGAAGTAACCTAAAAAAGAATGGCTTATGTTGGGATAATTGTAGACGTAAATACTACAAAAGGAATTTAAGAAAAGAATTAGATAAATTCCAACCTTGAAAAGGTCAATGTTACTGGGAATTCCTTCAATCATTGCAGCATCAATTGTGGCTTGCGTCTTCTCAGCTGCTCTGTATTTATCTCTACATATCATTGCTGCCCTTTCTACGAAGTTCATTTCAGCAACAACAAGCTTTTTACTCAGCACAACACCCTGTTTCACCGACGTATTCTTCCAGAAACCCAGTGAAGCATTAGAAGTCCATGTTGTGGACCTCATCCATTTTCGCAAGTAGACACTACCATCTATATCAAACACATGATTAATACTTTCATATGCCTCGCCAGTGAGCCGCAGTTGTTGACCTAGTTCATCATTACCCTCCATTGATTTCTTAATCATAGGTCCACCCCAACAATTAACAGCAAGAGCTTGGAGAACAACATCGCCGAATGGCGCATTTTGTAAATATGAAAACTGAACCAGTTTAGTAGGCTCATCTAAGGTCCTACGCATAAATTGGAGAGCCTGAAGTCTTGCAATAGTATTTATGGCATAAATAACTGCCCTTTCTTTCCCCTTGTGAGCACCATATACATCATACACTGATTGATCACCATCCTTGGGTCCAAATTCACTTATGAATTTGTATAAAGCAATTATTTCATTAATAAATGCATACCACACATCCCTTCTCATTTCACCTCCCAAATCAACGAATTCAAGTACCCATGGTTCAGACCTGATAATATGAAACCACAGATAAAAAAATTCTTACACTAATATTTATTATTTAATGGGTAGTCAATAGGGGAAATACAATGAAATTATCGTACTTGAATTGGGCTTTGCATATATATATATATATATATACACATATATATATATATATCGAAATGACAATAATACTCGAAGTAATTCATCAGTAAGCCAAGTTCTTAAACCATTTCAGGTAAGACAAAAGGGCTCAAACAATCTCAACAATTTTAATTCTATTGTCTGTGTTTCTGTTTGGGGAGGGAGAGGGCAATGGGGGTTGAGAGGCCACTGAGGTCCATATATCAACGATGCAGGCAGTAATTTATTGCATCACCAGTTGATTTCTGTCAGAGTGGCTATGATGGCAACAAGGATGCAAATTAAGTGAAGAACAGAGAACAGAATAAAACCAAGCAGAAAAGTGAACTTTAAGGAATCAGTTTGATGGCTAATATAAGACTTTGATAATCAAATTCAGCGCAAATAAAGAAAATATGACCATTGCCCCACCCCCCCACTCCCAACAAAAAAAAATAAAAAAATCCACCATCATATTCCAAGTGTGTTATGGATGAATAAAGATGCAATCACAGGATTTCATAAATTTACAACAGATGGGTAGGAGAAGAGTACTCACTCTGGACTGGAGGTAACAGATAAAGCAGAATCAAAAAGATTTGATCCCAAAGGTCCAACCCTTGTTTTCTCTATTCTCGAACCATTTCCCGTAAGATCCAGCCTAATAGCACCTCTCTGTCCCATCAGGCCAACTGCTGGCAATAATGTGTGCTAATATTCCAAAAGGATAAAACATTTCAACGAATTAAAAGTTAGATTTTATGAGTGCATTCTTTTACACAGAATATAACTTTTTCCTTTCATTCAAAGTGGGTTGATTTACTACTACTACTTAATTTTCGCTAAACTGAATATACAATGTTGAAAAGCGTGTAAAAATAGAGTATATATTGTTCTGTGTTCTTAAGCATGAACAACTTTTTACACCAAATTAGTTTGTAAAACCACTCAGACAAGGAAAAGCACTTGGTTCAAAACTTAAGTTATGTGCACATCATTTAGCCCAAGTTTGCCAGAAATAACAAATGCTACCATATATATCCGTCTTAGTCCATCATGGGACTCATAAAGCATTTTGGCGCTGCCCTTTTTCTTCTTCCTCTTGGTTTCTTTGTCATCCCAGGTGAAGTTAGACCTAAGTTTTATTTTTTGTTTCTTCTAAGGTACAACTTCTAACCAATGTTATTGATGAATGACATAATATTTTCAGTACAATAAATTTGAACTCATTTAATGCACTCCTAAACCACAACGAAGACTTTCTCTAGTAATGAAGGCATTTTACTGCTTCATAACAATATCTCAAAATAGAGTGCCCTGTCAGTCTTATCTCATGGGACTCATTTATCCCAAGTGTGCCAGAAGTAACAAATGCTACCATATATGTCCGTCTTAGTTCATCATAGGACTCATATAGCATTTTGGTGCTGCCCATTTTTTCTTCCTCTTGGTTTCTTTGTCATCCCAGCTGTAGTTAGACCTGAGTTTTATTTTTTGTTTCTTCTAACCAATGTTATTGATGAATGACATAATATTTTCATTACAATAAAACTGAACACATTTAGTGCACTCCAAAGCCACAATGACGACTTTCTCGCAATGAAGGCATTTGACTGCTGCATAACAATACCTCAAAATAGAGTGCCCTGTCAGTCAAAGTGAGTTTTCCTGGCCATGCCATGTTGTTTTCCCATTTTATAACAGGCTGCTTTCTGCTAGAACCTAGGCAGAGGATTCTCTCCTTAGAAAGATGGGAAAACTCTTGAGACTGGTATGATTTCCGTCCTTCATGCACCCTACACCAATAAGACGACAAAAATGACCGGGAGAGTCCACACTGGGAAGATGTTTAGCATTAAGGGATTTGTCCACAAATATCAAATTCTGAAAAATGTGAGATGAAGGATCTAAGTAGTACACTGGAAGATTTATAAATGAATTCAGCTTTTACAGAAAAACATACTAGTAGAACTCAATATCCAAACATATGTAAGTGGAAGATGAGAAGAGCATAAAAATTATGTCTATAGGTTGCATATGAATGGTTAAACACATTAAGCAATGCATCATAATCTACAGGAAAGTCATTTGCATATCTCTCAAAATTGTACGTTCTCTTCAATTTTTTATTTTTAATTTTTTGACTTGGAACTGATATAGACCCAGGTGTGACCATTTTTTCAACCCTGATGTTTTGAGGTATCTTTAATAAATATGAGATCCAGTTGTCTTCAAATATCCAAGTACATTTGGATGGTTCAACAATGGTTGGCATGGATTTTTTAAGAATTTCAATCCACGGTAGCATAGCAAAAAGGAACATGAAATGTCTTGTGCCAATAGGCAGACCCAGTGGAATTAATCTCTTCATTAAATATTAGTTGTAAGGACACAAATAAAAGGGTAATTCGGTCTATAATAACCATTTCCTTAACACGATTTCTCCAACTTTTTATATATTCTCTGTAGGATGTGTTGGTTTATCAGGTGGTGAGGGCTTGAAATCAAACCCTGATGGGGAGTTAAAGGGAAACTGACCAATGGGGCTGCCACCTAGATCATTTTCATAATTTCTTTGCTATTGCAGAATCAGTCACCAATATTTGAGCCCTCAACAATGCAAAATTCTGCAAGTTGGTTGAGGTGCTATAACATCAAAGATCATAGGAGCGTTACAGATTAAAAAACTACAATAACATAGAATAGCCAAAGATGTCTTAATCAAAGTTGAAAAGAAACAGTTCTCACTTGAGAAGCTCGTCAATATATGTGGACCATATGCTAAATGAAATACCCCAGTCATCACCAGCAAGAGCTTTGAAAAGGTTATGTGCTGTTGACCAATCAGCCACACCAGAAACAGCAGGAGCAATTCGAACAAAAGCCTCTTCTCCTACTAGACTCTTCAAGTTCAACAAATATGAATTATTAGTTCTGACATTCAACTCTTTTGTCAAACTAATGGTAAAAGGAAACTAGTTGGCATATATTACAAAATCCTAAACAGAGAAATGAGTACCACGCTAGCTCCCTAGCTCTCCTACCCCGACCCAAAGCCCAAAAAAATGAGGAGAAGGGGAGGAGAGAAAAGCACCAGTAAAAATTTCTGTAGAATAACTATTAACTCGTCAATCATTAATCATCATTAGAAATATTATCTCTAAGATTTACAAATGATCTATAGTCCAATTTTCTTTTCTAGATACGAAGTCTCAGATGTAAGCTTCTATGAAGTAAGGCATGTTAAAAAAAGAAAAAAGAAAAAAGAAGGCTAATCCAGGGAAGAACCCAAGTAGAACACAAGTAAAAGATCATCCTGGCACACCAACAACTGTCAGCTTAAAAATAGTTTTATAAAAAGGAGAAGGGGAGGGGAGAAGATCACAAGTAAATATTTCTGCAGTACAATAACTATTAACACCTCAATCATTAAATTATTATTGGCAATATTATCTCTAAATTTTGTGAACAATCTATAGTCCAATTTACAACTTTCTTTTCCAGATATGAAGTCTTAGATGTAAGCTTCGATGAAAGAGGTTACGTTAAAAAGAATATCCAGGAAGAACACTAGTATAATACAAGGAAAAGATCATCCTGGCACGCCAACAACTGTGACCTTAAAAGTAGTAATTGAAAAAATGTCAAGTAGATCTTTTCTTCAATGAACACATTGTATAAAACAAACCAATGTCTGAGATTAGCTGTATTACAGATTAAACCAGTAATAGCTATCTGTTTCATAGAAGTTTTTTCCAGCAATAGAGATATCATCTTTGATGGGACACCCTCAATGTAATATTTATAATTTTATACTCCTTCTAAAGTTTCTTGGAGAAATGTTTGTCATAAAGCAATTTAATCTTCATTAGTTTTCAAAAATGACTCAATTTCATGCAATTTGTATGTTGATCTACACGATTGCCCCTGATAAAATGTAATAAATTAGAATGCAGAGTTGCAAGAAATTAAATAAAGAAAGCAACAGCTGCATATAACACTCTACTAATGAGGAGAACAAGTAACACAAAGAAAATCAATATTAGAAGAAAAAACCTGGAAAGTATTTCTCTCCAACATTTTAGCTCGGTGATCCTTCTGGCTGCTGTAGGGATGCTCCCAGGCAAGCATAGTAACAAAAATAAGTCTCTGAAATGCTGGTTCCTATATAGCAGGTCAAACTAATAATGAATTAGTAAGTTGCAAAAGTTGAATCCTATCCTAGTCCACACACAAAAAAAATAAAAATAAAAAAATAAAAAAAGGAAATCTGAGTGCGCCCAGTGTGCTTGTGTTGCATGTGCGTCCTTGTGGTTGGATCTGTAGAGCGCAATTTACTACAGTATTTAGTTTATAAGTGTGAGAAAAAATCTCACTTCTTGAGCTAGCTTTTAAGAGGAGAGGGGCCAAATACCACTAAAAACTGGTATTAGGGCCCGGTTTATCATCCGTCATCTCTTGCCGAATAGTCACGGGGATACGGGTTTATATGAGGGGAAGGCGGGTTTGGCCTCCCGTAGGCCCCATTGTGTGAGAGAGAGATGGGTTTGGGCCCCGATATGTGAGGGGAGACGTGTTTGGTCTCTCGCAAAGCCCAATATGTGAGGAGATTGTTGAGGTTGTCCCACATCAGTTGTAGATGGGGTTGACATTCAGTTTATAAGTGTGAGGGAAAGCTTCACTTCTTGAACTAGCTTTTGAGGTGAGAGAGAACCAATACTACCAAAAACATTTTCCTCTCAACTGAAGTTCTCACATTCATTAGGGGTACTTTGAGAAATTCACATGTATTAGGTCATCCGAATAAACTGTACTAGGGGTCCTTGTGGCTAGATCTGAGGAGCACGATGTATTGTACATTTTCCCCTCCACTTAAGTTCTCACGCGCATTTGAGGTACTTTGAGAAACTCACATGTATTGGGTCATCTAACATTTCCTCCTGCATTTCTTGCTTTTATTTTCTAGTTCGTGTTATTACTGCTCTTCGTAGTACGGATTTATCGTTTAATCCATATCAACTGTGACTTGATCAGCATCTTCTAAAAATCAAAGATTACATGTTTATTATTTTGCATTGATCAATTAGCAAAAAGAATCATTCTTCCATATTTCATTTGTTTGGATGTTCAGCCAATCGCATATTTATATTAGCTACTTGCACCACGAACTCTACTCATCTATGCATCTTGACTGTCAGCAATAAGAAAATATTAATTATGAAAAGGTGCTTAAATTTGAATTTGCTCCATGAACGAACCTTGAGGCCAGGATGAACTTCAGCATTATTCCTTGACAAAAACCTGAAGAAGCAGTATTCCACTAAATTACGGGGATTACTATAAACAGATTCAGGAACGAGCGCTCTAAATATCTTCTGCATTTTGCCCCCAGTCAAACCATTCATCCTGCATATCTTAGTTAACGAAGAAGTCAAAAATTAATTCCACACCAGTCAATAAGATAGTTTTTTTTTACTCTGAACCTGATTAAAAAAAAAAAAAAAGAAAAAATCACAAGGTGGGAGTTATGAATTCATGTTGTACACATCCAATAGTTAGGTGAGACTAACTTCCCACCAATTACGGTTTCCCATAGGAAATTCATGTATCAATTTCAAGCCTGGTAAGCATAGGCAAAAGTTAGAATAACCCTAAAAAAACATCTCTACAAGTAATAGTAGTGAATTGAATCAGCTATTACACATCTCTCTCTCCTTGACCCGAGCAAAAATTATCAAAATCCATTGCAATTATATTTGATTCTTAACCCATAAACGAGTTCTTTTAATCGAATAAAATACATAAGCAAGTTAGCAGTTATACATCTAGGACACCTTCCAGTTTTGTAAAATCAATGCACATTCCCAAATGAAGTTGAAATAAGAAAACAGCAAGTTTACCGGCTGAATTGCTCAATAGAAACAATGGCAGCTTCAGAAAGCTCTCCACCAGGGATTTTGCTATCAACAGTATGCTCAGTAATGAAGACGTCCTCCATATCTTCACTATCTTTTGGAAGATTCGGCCTTCTATTATGAACAGTTTTAACGAATGGGGAAGTTATTTCATTGAAAAAGTTTTGGGTCTTTGAGAGCCATTGGTTCACTGATTCTTGCACAGTATCTGAGGAAAAAAATTATGCATCATTTTAATCTATAACTTTTACAATTCATCGACAAGATTGAGAAATATAAGACTCGGTAACAATTAGCAAACGTCAATAATGAGGTACAAAAGTGTTGTCTTTTTGCACTTACTGGTATCAATATCATTGAATTTCCATTTAGCGTCGCGCAGAGACCGACTCACAAGCTTGAACCCAAACTTGTCATCCGTCGACGACGAGGAGGAAGAAGAAGAAGGATCAGAATCTAAAGAACTTGGAGGAGGATTCTTGCCACTGCAAAAAAATCTGAAAAGGAGCTTCTGTTGATGCTGTGGGAGTGTATAAAAATGTGATGAATGTCCAAATTGGACTGTTTTTACTGGGAATCTTGGATGCATCTTCCTGTACTCTCTACTATAATTTGCCACAGTTTCGTTTTCTGGTTTCCAGAATTCAAGATTCAAATTCATGATTTCAAGATTAAAGATGCCAAAAACGAAATCAAACTAAAAAATTATAATCAAAATATATACGCAGAACATTCAAGACTCGAAAGGAGTTTTGTTCAAGGGTAGAAGACAATTGGGGATTTCGAGAAGTGCTGGCTGAGCTGCGCGGAATTAGGCACATGTCTCTAACTCGAATACTAAACTAGTTGTACGGTTGGAATTTTATCTTCAAAGATTAATTAATTATTTTTCAGATTTTTTTTTTTTTTAATTGTAATTCGATTTGCAAATGGATACTGTTGTATTCCTTTTCATTTTTTTTTTATTTTGAACGTGGGCTGACTCCTATCAGCCTCAACAGTGACGCAACAGTGATTTGTTGAAACAAAACAAAATGGATAATTAGTTGGATATCGTTAGAGTAATTAAAGTAAACTACTTGATTCCCAAATTTGATAAAAATTCTTTAATTTTTTATTCTCTCAATAAAGTAATTTTATACGTGAACTCATAAATTTTTTCTATTTTTCAATCATGCATTCTTCAAAGATATCATTTTTCCAAAAATCTATATCAAAAAAAAAATATCGGAAAAAAAAAAGATCATAATAAACTTCACTCGTATAAAATTAAAAATAGCTTACGAGAGAGTTTTTAAGTCACTATAAACTCACAAAATCAAATCGGTAAGATACATCACATCCAATTACTAAAATTATGCTTATTATATGTCGACACCTAGAGATTCCATGTGATATCCATCATTTATTAATTGTCTCGTCATTAATTTTTGTAAGTGAAATTAAACGAAATTACCTTAATTCCTGTTTGGTGTAGATTAAATTTTACTAAAAGTTAACATTTAACTTTAGTCACCCATTTTATTAGACCCGTAACTTTTCAATCACAGTAAATAGGGATATAATTGGAGTCAAGTTTAAAGTATATTTATTTGAGTGAAATCATGGTGAAGTACACTAACCCAATCTAAAAAAATTATGCTCAGATAACACATAATTAGATACAATATAATCAAATAAACAGTGCAAATTACGAGAATTCCTTCAAAAATACAACAATCTAATTATAATCCATAATCGCAGATCTCCAATCTATAATTTGATAGAACAAATAGTGCAGATTATCTAATCTTCTTCGGCTAATGACAATCTAAGTGCCACGTTTATTTATTATTATTTTGAACTACGATTTTAATTGAGAAATTGTTTCGCGCGGGTTAGTCGCTAACAATTAAAAGGGATCAGACGATTGTGTAAGGGACAAACCTCTTGAAACAAAGTCCCAAAAAGGGGTGTTCTTTTATTGGCGATGACTTTACAATTGGAAATCAAAAACAAAATGCCTCCAAGGGGCGCAAGCACACAAATTACTGAAAAAAGTGTTTAAGTCTAAAACTAAGGAAATTAAAATTACATGTTCTCTGTTCGAGAGTTTTTGATTCGGTTCCTTTACTCTATGTCTTTTCTCCCTTTTATACTTCATGGACGATCTCTTTGTGATCAATCGCCTAAAAACTGTTTGATCATTCTGCAACTGCCCACTTTCCTCATAATGGCCAGCTTGTCATGAGAACTGTCTTATTTAACTGCTGTCATTACTCTTCGTCGTTCAACCGTTTTCGATTGAATTCCTTGAATCGTGGAACGTGATGGGGCTGCTTTAATAACTGCTTTGATAACTGCACTTCTTGATAACTACAACACTTTATGTTTGTTAAAACTTTGGGCGACTTGAAGGTTTTGGCGAGAATAGAGTAATAGCTCTGGGCGACTGCATGGCACTCCATTCGCTCAGATTCTGGGTGACTTGCAAACTTGGGCGATGGCGTTATCGCGTTC